ACAGATATGAAGAAGTACAGTCTTGCTAAGAAATCAGTTATATGAGTACATTTTGAAACAGTTTCAAAGGACTTGTTCTTTGGGTGAGGGATTTTCTTCTCTTCTACTGCTTTAACATACGCACATACACTCTCCCAGATGCTGATTGCTCTCTCTGCAACAGGAAGGTTTTCCAGCCATCGGGTCTTGCAAAACTTAAGTGGCATGGTATGATCTCCAGTTATCTTCTGATAATCCTCTCTTCTGGCAGGGGAATCAGAAAACAGGTAATACAAGGATGATAGAAAGCTTTCCACCTCCCAGTCAGCAGCCTTGGCACCTGTCAGAAAAGCACCATTAACTATATGGAGCCCGCATGAGCCTATATTCAGTATGGATTTGGTCAGGTCAGCAGTGTACTCTCGCGTAAAGTCATCATACATCTTCCAATTAACGTTGGGACCATCCATTGATATTTGCAGTAATTTTTCCAAGCCAACTGTGTGCAGAACTTTATTCAGTTCTTCCTTGAGGTGAACAGCTGAACCATGTCCGATGAACACAGACGTCAAGTAGCGAGTGCAAACTTCATTGTGTTGCCATGTTCTTATGAGGAAGTCCATCTGCTTTTTCTGGAGCTTCTTGTTGAGGCTTTCATCAAACAGTATCACATAGTGGTTTGATTGTTTTATGTTGTCATAAAGGAGGTCTTGCACATATGGGCCCAAACCAAACACCGTCATATACCGACATTTTGTTTCTGACAACGTGAAACCCTTAGCAATAGCTGAGTCCGGAAACATTCTTTGAAAGAGCTCACTGTTGTGCTGGCAAGAATGAAATGATAAATGATCCTCCACCACTTTCAGACACCAGAGTATTTCAGCTTTTAAAGTTTCCTCTCTTGCAGCAACAGGAATGGGAGTTGTCACTTTAGAGGTTGATGGCGCACAAGTACTGGTTGTTGCATCTGTAGACGTGATAGATACTGATGAACTTTCTGCACCTTTTGCCTTGAAGAAGCTCTTGAGTGAGAGAGTAGAATCTAGGAGAAAAGAAAAAAATGTCTATTAAAATAAATAAAATATAAATATCATCATTTGGTAAGATTTAGGGCCGAGTCAAAACGTTTAACTGCCGTTCAAACGACCATTAAAAGCATAAACGTTTTCCTATTTTGACAACCGTTTGACAGTATGGGGAAGGAAAAAAAAAAAAAATTCACGGCAACTTTTGGCCAATTGATGTAAGTCACTAAGACAAGTGGACTAATTTTTGACTCATTCCTTAAAAACATATTTTAAAGAAATAGAAAGGAGGAAATACTTCTCAAGGCAAGCAAACTGTTGGACCCAATTGTAAGTACAAAATTTAGTTTTATGATTTTTGGGGTCAATTTTAAGGTAAATTATTATTATTTTTTTTTTCTGCAGTCCACATACAGTGCCCGGTACAACACTGGCGTGTGAGTGCGGAGCCCCCTGGGTTAGCGTTCGGGCTGTTGCATGCAGTAACCTAGCCGGCCCGGCCCGGGGCCGGGGACGCTCCCGAACGGGCTGGTCGCAGTAAGCAGTAACCAATGCCTGCGAGGTGACATCGCATCGCTAAATAATCTCAAATCTTTCATTTTTATATAATTATTATCAGTCATTATTTGGATTCATGCTCAATAAAGGATCGGTAAAATTCACATTAAAAATGCTCACTTACGACGTTGTTGCTGTTGGAGGTTTGCTGTGTGTTTTTCACTCTTCTTGTGGCTCTTGACGGCTGCTTCGCCCATATTACGGACACTGAATTTACACATACAAACAGCACATCTAGCAGTCCCCAGATCGGAACTTTCTTTCAAAATCCAGCCACGGTAATCCGGGTGTTCTAACCAAGCATCCTTAAAATGACAATTTCCAGGCATTTTGAATATCACTTCCACAAAATTTGTAATGGTGAAAATATCCACGTGACGAGTTCCAAGGTCTGTGAAAATAAACAACTCCGTTTCATGAAGAATCAACACATGCACAAAAGTTTCAAAACACATGCCGTCGCGTCGATATATAGATCGTCAACGAGCTAGCGCTGCCAATTTGCCTTGTTGACACGTCAGTATTGTTCCTTTTTTATTTAAATAATGAAAATTAAAAAACAAATATTACTAATTTACTTTTTCCTCATTTATTGGAGAAGTGTAAAAATTGTAGTAGTCTAAGTGGTCGCAATTTAATGCAAAGCCAAAGTGCAATCGAGGCATTACATTCGTTCTTGGAGTGTCACATGTCGCGTTGGCACCATCATCATATGCACACACACACTGCACACGTACACGTGCGCTAGCTTGCTGAACTGAGCTAGCGCTAGCGAGCTCGCTCGCAAGCTAGCCATGTGCGCACGATGTGGACCGTACCGCCATACACTGACCATACACACGTAGTTCGTATCGTACACGTACACACCCACGTACACAGCGCTTATCCATCGATCATAGTGAACACATTCACAAGTACAATCAGTCGGTATGTTACGAATGAAAGAAAATACGAGAAGAAAATGGTTGAAATATCTCCATTTATTCACTTGTATAGTGAGAAAATACTATAGTTGTCCATAATTTTGATATTCCATGACTTTCCATGACTTTCCAATGGAAAAAATAATTTTCCATGACTTTCAAGGCCTTAAAAGCAATAAAGTAAAATTCCATGACTTTCCAGGTTTTCCATGACCCGTACGAACCCTGGTATAAGTTACTTTCTGTTATAATGTATGGAATGTAGATCTTGTTGAAAATTTCCTTTTCTCTCTCATTTCTCATGTTTTACTTATCATTTTTTGTACTCCACTGACTTCTCCACAGTTTGCCCTATTTTCGTTTTAAAAGAGTTGATATGTGTCTCCTTTTAATTTGGATTGAAAGTTTAAATACGCCCTTCAATCCATGTCTACCGGTACATGTACATGTACAGTATAAGTTACTTTCTGTTATAATGTATTGAATGTAGAACTTGTTGAAAATTTCCTTTTCTCTCTCATTTCGTCAATGCACTATCTCTCTCTCTCTCTCTCTCTTTCCCTCTTTCCCTCAAGCACTCATCGTTCTCTCTCTTTCTCTCTTCCTCTATATACATGTATCTTTCTCTATCTCTCTTTTCGGAAAAAAAATACTTAACAAATTTTGGGGGCTACTTTTCAAGCTTGCTTGCATGAAAATAACACTCTTTATTTTGTTTTGCATTGAACTCTATGCAATTTTATGGGGCTGTTTTATGCCTTTCGGTGGCTCTTTTGGGCATTTTAGGGGCTAATTCACCCTGAGCCCCCATGTATTTTTTTCCTGACCAATTCAGTGTTGCATAACAACATCACCAGGATGATTCATCTACTGATTTGAAATATATTTCAAATTGTTAAGATTAATGTACAGTGAAAATTTTTGTAAGTTCAAATGTGATTTTACTGCTATTTCATTGTCAACCGATATAAAACTTATGCAATTCAGCTTTTGAGCTGCTATGTGTCTTTGTTAATAAACCAATTTCAATTCAATTCACAAAATTTCCATGTTTTGATGTTTGGCATGTGACTTTTCATATCTCAGTCTCTTGACTCATCTTTTCCCCTTACAGGGTCAGGGTGTATGTCTCTGGCTCTCTATTACAAGTTTCTCTTTTACCCTTCCCATTCTATTTTTTCTCTGTACCAATCCTCTCTCTCTCTCTTCTCTTCATCCTATTACCATCAGGGATGCCAGTTAGAGTTGATCAGAGGACCTGAAAATAACCTAGAAAGAGCTATTTTGTACACAAGAAAGCCTAAACTATGGTCAGAAAATAACTTGTCAGGGCCTGGAAATTGGCATCCCTGTACCACCTCCCCTCCCCTCCCCCTCCACCTCTCTCTCTCTCTCTCTCTCTCTCTCTATCCCTCTCCTCCTCCTCATCTTTCTTTCTCTCTTTTCCTCTCTGACACATATCCTCTTCCCATCTCCTTCTTTCTCTCACACAGTATGTAACGGATAATAATCACGACTTAAATCCATTTAGACACAACCTTGCATCTAAATTGTACACAAGATTACTGCAGATCAATTAAATCAATGCATTCAATAGAGCTTATTGTGACATCACAATAAAGGTCTCTATAGTACATTCCCTCTATAACCCCATTTAGCTGTATAGGAAACATGTAGAATGTAAATAATTTGGCACTATTATAATAGCCTTTAAAGAATTGATCTACATTGTACGTGTAGGCCTACCTACAGACATGTATGTAAAACGTGTCGTGTACACATGGTACATGTTTTGAGAATCGTTAATTGGTAGTGCAAATTTATTTTTCCACTTGCCCTTAATACATGTACATGTAGTTATGTCCGGCTCATTAGCCATGTGTGTGAATGCTATACATTACAAAATGAATAAAGCCTCACTCAGAAAAAACATGGTAATTAGCCCCATCAAGTTTTTTATGGTGACAATACAATAAAGTCATTTCTATAGCGCTCTTACAAACTAACTGTTGTTTATCGAAGAAGTTCTTGATCATGGTCAAAGAGGAGAGTTTCCGTAAGTGTTATTGAAAATATGCCTCACATTTCTGTATCTTTTAATACAGAGGTCTTCGATGACGCGTCGCGGGCAGTTGCCATTTATTCACATGAATAAAGAAACCACAGTCGTTTACACACATCAACAAACAAGCCCTACAATGTAGTGTAAACAAGAGTTTGTTGTTGTTATTTTCTTAACCAGTACTTTTGGCAAGTACTGTTTGTGAAGCACTTTTTATTCCAGAAACCGAAATGTATCACACTAAATTTACATATTTTTTTATTAGTTGATTTTTTTTAAAGCACCATACACCATTGGTCTTTTTGGTTCTCTAATAAGAACAATGATTTCTATCTTCATCAAAAATCTTCTCCCTTTAAAATCGGCAACTACACAACTCATGATGGGCACCATCTGTCTCCCTGAATGGAGTCATCGGTTACCATGGCAACCCGGAAGATGTACACTTACCACAAAGAGAGATGATGCTTCCGCTTTCCTCATGAACAAACTTCCTTGTGACAGCTTCCTCCATTATCTGCTTCACCTGAGAGACGAAGAAAGAAAGAAAGAAGAGGGATCAATGGAGATAATTATGGCAGAAATGTGGAGGTGTGGTGGATAAGGGTGTGATGTCAAGACCACAAGCGGCTTGCCATAATACCGAAAGGAGGACATGTATAATTGTTTATTTATCTGATTGTGAAGATGCTGTCAAATCAACGCTGAATGAAGATACTTATCATTAAAAGGCAATGTAAGTATGCTCATTTGGGTTAAACTCATGACAGAAATGAAGAGTCAAAGACGAATTCTGAAAACTTTCAGTTTATTTTATTTTTTAAATTTGTGATAACTACATGCATGCCACTATAAGCTTGCCATAACACTGAAAGGTGAGGGTCAGGGGGCAGGCTATCAATCTGAGTGTAAAGTTGAGTGATTGACAAATTAGATGAACTAAAAATATTCAATAAAGGGCACTATTCATTTTTGTGCATTTTTGTAAGATTTTAATTTTGTCATTAAAACAGTTTCATTCATTTGGTTTCTAAAACAATCTCCTAACAACTAAAACCAAGTCTATCGATTTATTATATTTAAAGAATATTTAGCATCAATGAACATGGGCTCATGTTTCATACACGTACCTTCCATGAGATTTTGGATGTTTTGCTTAACATTGCAGTTCTTTGTTAAACAAAGGAAACAATCACACAATACATCTACTACTCGAGTACAACTGGAATTATACAGACAAAGTCGTGTACAGTGTATTTGATCATGCCAATTAAGATTACGCAAACAGTGTTAATCCCAACTTATACAAACAATCTACATGTATCTAGTCGCTTGGAAATTGCATATAACATTTTATCATGTGGGACCGTCATAGTTTTAAACTTTAAGTTTGAGGTAACTTCAGAGTTATGAATAGCGAACACTAACAACGACAATGTTTCACATGGGACGAAAACAAAAAGTATTCCATTTAATTCAAAGATAACTAAAGGCCAGGGAAATCGATCATTTCAACTAACTGGCATAATCTTGAAGTTAATGGCATCCACAGGGCACAATATTACTTTGAGTTTGAGTGAGAATCGTTGCTGCTCGTAGTTATCGCGCTAACCTTATGATCTGTCATGGTATGTAACTTTGAGTTATAACTTGAAAGTTTTATAATGAATGCGTTCACACAGTCCCTAACTACAAGATTACTTTGAAGTTTAAAACCATGACCCATCCATCAGGTTAACAGACTGTCTTGTGAACCTCAAGTAAGATGCCAATCTGCCCTTCCATTGTACAAATAGAAGTAAAAACATTTTACAATCCTACTCACACAGCGTCTATTATGTTTCCCAAAGTACAAACACTCACTAGTTTCAAGATATTAAACTTATTAAGAGATAAATTTCTAGAGTGTGTGAATAGAATCATATCCCCAATACACTGTAGTATAAATATATTTATGACCTGCTTTGGAAAAACCCAACACTTCACAGTAAAAATGAAATTGAGTTCTTGGTATCACTGGAAAAAGTAAGAAATTACCTTTAAAGGGATTGGGTATCTTTGTCTCAGATTCTAAACAAAATCCTTATAAACCTAGTCAGTCAGGAATCCCATGACGTTTACAAGCTGATCGCCCGTCTGATAATCAAGATATTTATGATTGAAATTCGAAATTTAAAAAACCGTTGGGAAGGTTTTCAAAACACTAGTCTATTGGGGAAAATGAGTACATGTACCTATCGTAAAACCGGTCACTCAAAGAAATTTACTTTTTTGAGGCACTTCATGATCATTTTGAAGCGCAATGTTTTTAGGGCTTCCATATCACACCATATCACAGACGCTGATAACACGTAGGGCCACACATCTCAGATTTGGCATTGTTAAACAATTCCTTTAATAAGATACCCCAAAGAAATTGATTGAAATGTGATATTTTTGTGATTTTATTTTTAATTCTGAAAGTTAATTACAAGATATTAGAGTTTAAGTTCTTTGACATTGTTTCAACTAATTTCGAGAAGGGGGTGCATTTATAGAACTTTACAAAAAAATAATTACAAATATTTCTAGATCATGTTTTGACTTCATTTTTTTCTTTAAAAAAAGTAGTGTTTTGGTGTCTCCTACTACAGCACAATGGGATTTGCCGAGAAGCATAGGGATTTGCCATGTATGTACATGTAGGTCATCTCTGTGTAGTGTATGCATGCTGTAGAGTGTAGGGTAGATAGTATACCCAAAAGTTGTGTATCCAGACAACTTGATAAACAATTTTATTACTTGTGTAACACAATATTATAAAGGATAAATATTTATGATGGTAAGTGCAATTTCATATATACATTTTGTAAATTAAAGGGCAAAAGTGGTGGCTTGATTTTTGTTTAGCATCCGGACATACAGTACATGTCCATCCCCCCCCCCCCCCCCCCCCCGCCTTTCTAAATTAGTATCTTTTGAATTCCTGGATCAGCTCCCTCAAATTTGTTATAATCATTATCATTGACATTATGCCTCTGACACCCGATCTTGTGTTTAGTAATTACTATTAGTAGGACATTTTGTTTTCGGTACATTCCAGTATTTAGAAGATCAATTAATACAGGTAATCACTGTACACTAATCAGTAGTTCAAGAACCCATTTAACTGAACATGCTGAAGGATTTAAAACTAAAGGGATCCGGTAACTTTGTCTATTAGATCCTTTTAAAAAATCCTTGATTTAGCTCATGGTGCAATGATAATTATAAACCTTTAGGTTAGTCAGGAGCCCTGTGACTTTTACAAACCGATCGCCTTTCTGATTATCAAGATATTTATGATTGAAAATCGAAATCAAATTTTGCGTTTGCCAAACGGTTTTCAATTCAATTCAATTTAGTTTATTCATTTCCAAAAAAATTACATTACATTAAACACATTCATGCAAAATATTTCACTAAAATGTACATAGACCTAGTCTACATGTAAGTAGAGTCTACAATAAAATATTAAACAATAATGGAAAAAGGGGAGTTATAAAAACTCAAATAAATGAGTTTGCCATGATATCTCCCCCAAAGTTTTCATAACACTAGTCTATTGGGGAAAACGAGTATGGTAAAACCGGTCACTCAAAGCAAAGGTTTTTACTTAATAATAATAAGGCACTTCTTGATCATTTTGAAGCACAACTTTTTTAGGGCTTCTATATAACACCATATCACAGTCTCTGATAACACGTAGGACCATGCATTTCAGATTTAACATTGTTAAATGATCCCTTTAATCACGTCTCGATGACATGTATTCAATTTGTTGTGTCTAGCATGATGTAGATATATGACCTGAAGCAGGCCAAATTAAATTACAGGTTTTTATCCGCACATTTTCATTATCATTTCATCAGACTGAAGAAAAAGAGAAAAAAGGTCTCATAATCCGACGAGAAACTAACTTTTTTAGCATGAACTTGAAGTCATAATTCTTCATACTTCATAGTCTAATTCAAAATCATGAGAATGACATTATGAATTATGAATATGATGAGAATTTTCTAATTCAAAATCATGAGAATGACATTATGAATTATGAATATGATGAGAATTTTCTAATTCTTAATCTTATTGCCTGCTTATGCTAGCTCACGACACATGTATAAATTGCAGACCTTGGTAGATTACCACCAACTTCATCAAAAATCATGATAAATTAATAATAATTTTGAAATCTCACCTCCTTTTTGACCGTCTTCAGGAGCTTGTCCCGAGACTCCTCATCTGTCGCGTCGAAAAAAACGAAAAGGAAAGATAAACAAGGTCAAAAAACGTCTAAAAATTCCAGATAATGTGATCATGAATTGTTGTCAGAGGTATCTACGAACTGAGTACAAATACACTCATATCATCAAATCGTCATTTAAACAAAAATATGAAACTTACCGCTCATATTCGACATTTTGAGCCGAGGAATTGACTAGTCCTAAATATTCAAACCAACATCGAAAGCCGGCTAGCAGCTGGCAAACGGGTGCGACAAGGAGTCGCCTGCCTTTACTCCGCGGGGCGATGGGGTTGAGAATACGTATGGTCGATTATGGCAGCAGAAGCAAGCTACCCACACACTACATCCACGGTGTGCAGTGACGTTTTGAAGCAATCATCATAAAACTGTGATAAAGGGCACCGGTAGATGGCGTTAGACGTTTACATTTTCGGAGGGCATTGGACCCATCGAAATCCAAGTTCGTTGATTGGACCACAGCCTTGCCAGTTTATTGTGATCGTTGTAATCATTATGATTAGAAATAATCAATTGGTAAAAGGAATTTGTTTTGGAAATACAGAAATAAAGCAATATTGTATGCTGATGATATAACACTCTTCATCAAAGATATGAGTTCAGTTAAGGAAATAGAACACGTTTTAGAAGGTTTTTATAAAATATCAGGATTAAAGTTAAACAAAGATAAGACATATATTCTGGCCCTGGGCCCACAGGTGTCTAATAATACATTTCCGTTTGGGAAGCTTGTAGATGCTGTTAAAATATTAGGTGTTTATTTTTCAGTACATGTAGATATCAAGGAAAAAATGAATTATAAGGAAATATTGAGCAAAATTAATAAACTACTGACGTGGTGGAAACAGCGTAACCTAACTTTAATGGGTAAAATTCAATTGATGAAAGTATATGGATATTCTAAATTGACATAACTTATGTAACATCACTAATGCCAGTTTAAGAGTGGGTATACAAAAAAATGGAAGTAATATGTTTTGATTTCTTGTGGAGAGGTAAAGATAAAAATTAAGAGAAGTACAATGATTTTAGACTATCAGCAGGGTGGGCTCAAAATGATGAATTTTAGGTTGTTTGTAAAAGCACACAGAATAATGTGGATAAAAAGGCTTGTAACAGGAACTCATGATATCAAATGGAAACAATACTTTAATTATTTAATGAGACCGATAGGAGGTAATTTTATATTTTATTGCAATTATTGGAGAGATACAGTGAAACTGATGTTACCTTCCTTTTATCAGAATCTTCTGAAAGCATGGATAGATATGAAAGAATATGTTAAAACAGAAGAGAGATACAAAGGGAATGAAATATTGTAAAATAATAATTTTATTCAACTAGAAGGTCAAACCTTATTTAAGGAAACTTTGTTTTTAAAAAATATATATCGACTTCATCACATTTGTGATGAAAATGGAGAATTGAAACCTGAAGCTCATTTTATAATGTTAGGTTTGAGCAGAGTGGAAATTGATAAAGTAAACAAAATTTATAAAGTAGCCCCTTATGAATGGAAACAAAATGTTCAACCTTTAAGAAAGTCAATTCACACTGGCTTTAGTTTAGAATTTATTTTTCCAAAGAAAGTGTTTACATTTGAAGATTTAACTGCAAAAATGGTATATAAGAGTCAAATTAAAAAGATGTTCAACCAAGGATGTGTACCTTAAGTAGTAAACTGCAAGAATTTCAGTTCAAACTATTGCATAATATTTTATATACAAATCATCATTTACATAGATTCAGGTTCCATGAAATGAGTTGTGCTCATTTTGCAAAAATTTTGAAGAAACTTATCAACATGTATTCTTTGAATGTAATACAATAAAGGAAGTCTGGGGGAAATGTGGAGATAGACTTAATTTACCAATTCTGAAGAAATTATCCTGGAAAGAAATTCATATAGGAATAGATGACACTACTTTTAAAACAGAGGAATTATTGAACCACATTTTGATTTTGATTAAATATATGATTTTCCACAGTAGAGAAAAGGGAAACCTCCAAAAGCAAAAAAAATAGAATATAGATTGTTGGAAACAGGGGCGTAAATCCGTACCGAGGAGTGGGGGGGGGGGGGGGGGGGGGATGATCGGCGATAGCCATCACATACTACACGCCAGGCGCGTACGCAGGATTTTAACATTTATAAATCGGGCCGAAAATTTCGCAACGACTCAGCCGACCGCAGAATAAGGGGGGGGGGGGGGGGGGGGGGGGGGGGGGGGTAAGAGGACACTTTTTTTTTTTGGTCTCCAAAAAATCGCAACGACTCAGCCGACCGCTGAATAAGCATTTTTTTTCAGGGGGGATGCAGGGGGGGGGGGGGGGATGATATCAGGGGGGATGTTTGTACAGGCCACCCCCCTACTTCAAGCCAGGGGGGGGGGGATGCAGCCCCCCACCCCCCGGGATTTACGCCCCTGGTTGGAAAATAGAAATGAAGAGAAAAAAACTTTCATTGGAAAGAGACACACTTTCAATTCATTTAAGGAAATGGGAAGCTTTGGAAAGTTTAGAATAAATGTTTTCAGTTTTTAATTTTCTCAATATACAACTTCCAGACCCTCCTCTCTTCTTTGTTTCTTCTTCTTTTTTTCCCCTCCTCTCTTTACTTTTTTGTTTCTTCTTCTTTTTTCTCTTCTTTTCTTTTTCTTTTACTTTTGTTTGTTTGTTCGTTCTATGTTGGTGTGTGTTTTGTATACTGTTGTACTTGTTATGTGTTTAAATGTTGGGTGGGGCGGGGGTAGTAGGTGTTTTCTAGCTCTTTCTCTTTTTATATATACAATTTTTATTTTGTCTCTAAAGGAAATTGAAGAGGAATATAGGTTAACAGAATATTGTGGAAAAGAAATAATTTGAGATTTATGATCAAACTGGTCGAGAAAATAGTGTTTTTTTTGGTGAAAATATAATTTTGTTTATGTGAATATTTTTCATCTGTAAATGTGTAACTTTTGTATGTAAATGTAAAAGTTCATTGGCAAATTTATTAAGACCTATTTTAAATTATTTTGTTATTTTGTATAGGCCTACAATGTTATAAATAATGTACAATTTTTCTTTATGAGAGAAATGAATGAAAACCTATGAAAACAAAATACAAGGGGCAAATATCTATTTTAAAAATATGTATTAAACAACTGCCAATTTCATGCACCTCCCTAGCTGTTATTCCTCCTCCACATCAAGCATCGTGTAAGTAGCACGCAAAGCAAGCGAAGAGAATAAGAATGAATTTTAATAGAGACAGTTTGTTTATATAATTCATGCTTTTCACGGGGTGTTTTGATTTACTGATTATGCTGATGGTTTTTATGTTTTACTTTTCTCTTACAAAGAGAAATCGATCGTTTTACTCAAGTATTTGTAATTGTATTACGACCTGTACATCCAGTCTAGCCGGTTCTCCTAATCCTACTCAAATGTTCTATTGGCAATTTCTAATTGTTCTCGTCAAATGTTTATTTTTGACTAAAAAAAATTGAAGTCCCATATTAATCAACATTTTCTAAAGGGGAGAGGGGATTCCTCCATTTCATTATCAATCCGGCTTGGTGTATAATACGCAGCGTCTCATCCATTGGTTTTATTTTAAATGTGAGAAGATTTTCTCTTCTTTTGCATGATCTTGTCCATGAAGTTCACAAGTCTACTTTTGATTTTCCACACTACGTCTTATATGCTTATACTTGCTTTTCTTTAGTAGTCTCCGTAGACACAACACTTGTTCTTTGAAAATAAAAAAATAAATCAAATTTTATTATTGTATTAATTTGTTACATGTATACCATTATTTGTTGAGGGCTTCATCGGCACTATTTCAAGCCATGCGTTTTTAATGCCATTGGGTCCCTCCATTTTCACTTGACATATATAAATATACAGCAACATTTATATCTTATCTTCTTGATTTAGAATTTTAGATTGTATGATATGATTATCTTATAATTCCTTGTAACTTAATTTAGAATGATATGAATAATGTTTTTCGTTATGCAAAGAAAAATAACATGTACACTTGTTTAGTTACTTTTGTATACTTTGTAAAATGTTGTTTGTAATTTTATTTATTGTATATAATTTGTATTTTTCTTGTTGAAGATGGAAATGAAAATCTGAACTTCAAGCTTCGCGCATTAAACAGAGTTTGCCCTAACTTGCATTAGAAAAGATAAGAGAGCACTTAATGTATTTTAATAAAATGATCTCTTATAATCTCTCGTTATTTATTAGTAATTTTTGTGTATCTTTGACTTAGTCTAGACGAATAACATGAGTATTTCTAGCCCCCACATTCCCTCCCGTTAGCTGATAAGGTATCCCCTCCTGCGAGAGTGGCCTCACCAAACAACTAAATCCAACTACACCAGCGCAGCTCGGACACCAAAACTTGTTCTTCACTCTGCTTAGCCACGCTTCCCAATAATCACCTATCTTCATCATGTTCTTCCTTAAATGGTGAGAAAGAAACTTGTATATTCCTGTTCTTCGTAAAATGTGTATTTCTAAACTATGAGCTTCACTATTCACATATCTTGTAGTACTGTGTAAAAAAGATATAATAATGGTCTTACTCTTTGTTTTGATCATCATCATCATCATATTCAGGTGGCGTTGTAAAGCGCTGGTGTGGTCTTCATGAGAGCACGCCATGCAACTTAACTCCGGGAAGCTCCGACGCCAATGCCGCGCAGCGCATGCCGCTCCGATGCCCGCGGCGCCGGTGTTGGAGCTTCCCTGAGTTACTTTCACCTGTGTGTTGCGCCTTTCATTCCTTGTCCAGACACTTTCTTGATATCATCATGATCATCAGTCCAAGATATTAGTGGACGACCTCTAGCTCTACCCCGTTTTCCTTAGACTGCTCCTTCTCAACACCTTCAGATCTCGATCCTAACAATGTGCCCCAAAAAAGTTTTCTGATGATGGTCAAGTCTGTTCCAATCTTTGTATTGATATGTTGGATTATATAATATTTTGACCACTGAGCATGCTGAGGAGAGAATATACTTTGTTGCTGTACTATTTGTCTTGACTATACATGTGTTTATAAATATATTCTTAGCCAAGGACAGGTGCCACTTGCTATAATTCTTATGCCAAGGCACATTGTTACATATTCTAAATAGTCAGACTGTCAGATACAGTTTGAATAGCGAATTAATGAATGGTTCAAGTCCAGTATCATGTATGAATGAGCGCGCGTGGACACACCATGTGTACAATACTAGAGGGTTATCAGGATGTGGCAGTGTGGCAGTGTGAACAACAACTTCTTATCAAGGTTTATAATCCCCTCTCCCCCAAGCTTGACTGTCCACTGACCACGTGTGTAGTAGGACGCATTAACTAGCACATCGTGGATAGAGTGTATGCCATACACGAATGCTAAAGTGTTAGGGATAGAATGTGTTTGCCCTTTGACCAATGCTGTTTTAGACGGGAATGAAAGTTTGAGAAGACAAAGAAGTTGTGTTGGGAATGCACTTGTTGAAAAACAAATGGTCACACTGTCTAGTAGTTAGCTAATGTTGGATTGGTTGATGTAATATTGTAATTGAAGACTTGCATAATCACAGTATGAAACTCATTGTATTATATTGTCAGAAATGACAATTCAGGCTGAATGTTATTGGGAATTACACACACTTTCTCTCTCTCTCTCTGTCTTTCTCCCTCTCTCTCTCTGGCTTTCATCGAAAGGGTGCGGTGTGGTGCGGCGCGGTGTGGTGTGCTCCACGCACCCATTCGATAAAAGAGGGGGGGGGGGCTTTTCTCGAAAGGGTGCGTTGAGAGCGGAGTACCGTTTTAACACACCCTTTCGATAAAAGCGGGGGGCTTTTCTCGAAAGGGTGCGTCGACTAGTCTTTTGCATCAGTCGTTTAAAATGAGGATCTTGGTCAGAAGGTAATAGTTGCCAATTTAAGTATATCGAAAATGTATTAAATAAAATGGAATGGTCTTGATTATGTACAGAGCGGTCTCTTTCGTTATTACTATGTTGATGGGGGAGACAGAGAGAAGGAAAAAAGGGAAAGGGAAAGGGAAGATAAAAGGAAAGAAAGAAGAATAAGAAGAAAAGAGGTTAACGGGGGAGGGGGGGGGGCGAAGGGCTCTTGCCTCCTCCTCACCCCCCCCCCCCCCCCCCCCAAAAAAAATAAATAAGAGAGATAGAGGGAAAGGGAAAGGGAAAGGGAAAGAGAAGATAAAAGGAAAGAGAGAAGAGGAAGAAGAAGAAAAGAGGGAAACGGGGAAGGGCGAAGGACTCTTGCCCCCCCCCCCCCAGTTTCCCTCTTTTCTTCTTATTCTTCTTTCTTTCCTTTTATCTTCCCTTTCCCTTTCCCTTTTTTCCTTCTGTCTGTCTCCCCCATCAACATAGTAATAACGAAAGAGACCACTCTGTAATCAAGACCATTCCATTTTATTTAATACATTTTCAATATATACTCTCTCTCTCTCTCTCCCATCCTACCTCCGCATTGTTTACCCTCCTCTTTTACTCCCAAAGTACTTTGTATGTAACAATAAAATGAATATAATACACATGTACTTTAGTGCGAGTACGCTGGACCTATAGTCGTAGTAGCCGTACTTTAAATGTAGGCTTTACTACTGCAGCTAGAAGGGATTAGACCACACAGCGAGCCAGCGAGGTCACTGTGACAGGTGGCTATCTTATTAACTCAGCTCTCATTTAACATAAGAAAAAGAGGATCATGGGGGACCAACAGGCACCGATTTGGGAAGTTTTCTATATAGAGGGAGCAAGTAGCTACAAGTAGGACAGTGTGCCTTTAATAGTAAACTATTATGTGTTGATTAATTAGGATTAGAATATGAACTTATATATGTGTGTAGATCAGATTCTAGTAAGAGGAAATCGTAATATCGGTTGTAAATTTGCTAATGCTATATGGTTAGTGCAGACTATTAGTCTATTTGCCAGTTCTGTGAATAAGGAGTTTAGAATATAACTAGTTGTTGAAGATTTATCTTTTCAAGCTCAGTTTCTCGCTGAAAATGCAGTATTGGATCAAATTGATGCAGATGAATATTGGCAAATACATAAGTGGTTATTATAAGTGTTGTGAGTTTATTCAGTATTAATGTGAATACCCGAGACAAGAAGTGACTAGTTAATTTAGGCAGGGGCGGCCGAGCGACTTAAAAAGTGGGAGGGCATCAAGAAAAAGGGCACCTTCTGGAGAAAAAAAAAAGGGCGCCTTCATTGTGATTACATTGTCAGGGATGATTTCAATATTGTTTCACTTTATACACCATACAAGATATTGCTTAGCATCATGCTTTGCAGTTGGGTGTGATGGTCTGAAGTTTATTTGCAAGTGAGCGAGCGAGGATTTTTTAAAAAAGATTTGTGAGGTCGCAGTGCGAACAATTCCATCTTATAAAGAGGAAAAAACCAATCCTGAGGGGGTATGAGGGACTATGAGCACATTCTCATAACAGAAGACTGAAAAGTAACATAAGCGAGCGAGCTTTGGGGGAAATTGCTCTCAGGGCGTGTTTATGCTTAACTTTTTCTGGCCAGAATCAGGCATCTGTTACGCGTTTAGTTTAAAACACGGTTGCGTCCTTTCTCACTTTTGTAGAATCACCGAAAAACGGCGAACACGATCGCCGATCGTAAACTCCCAAAAAGGTGCGTTTACGATTTGTAAACACATTTAAATGGGGTCAACGCACTGACCTCTAGTGGTCTACGTAGCATGCGCACTGCAGGTTTGCGAGGCCATCCAAGGAGAATTGCCTGGAGGAGCCAGAGAAGTGAGCATAAACAGTACACCGTGGAACTGCGATTACGATGAGCGTTACAAATCGCTCATTCTACCTTCAAAATCAAGCATAAACGCACTCTTAGTCGCTTGAAATTAGGGACGCGTTTAATGAAGAGACGAAAAGGGGACAATTATCAGTAAAGAAAAGGAGCATGTGTACAAAGAGTAATTTTCAAAGGTGTAAACGGGGCACTTCTTACACCCTCAAAAAGAGGCACTCACCAGGAATGAAAAAAGTCAGTCATGAGGATAGGAAATGGGCATTTGTCGACGGAAAAGGGGCCCCCATCAGATTTTGATAGGGTCATTTAAAAGAGGTGAAAAAGGGGCACGTATCATTGTTAAAAGGGAAATTATCAAAGGTAAAAACTGAGCACTTCGGCACCCTCAAAAAGAGGCACTCACCAGGGATGGAAAAGTAAGTCATGAAAATAGGAAATGGGCACTTTTAATAAAAGAAGATGTGCATTAGTTGAAAGAAAATGGGCACCGATCAGATTTTAAGGGGCAATTATCAGAGGTGAAGGGGGCACTTATCTGAATTGAAAATGAATAACTTCTTGTACCTGAAAAGGGTCATTTACCAGAGAAGGGGCACTTATGAAATGGGCACTTATCATTAGCTCAAGGGGTACATGTGAAAATATAGGGTGCGCTTATCCGAGTTAAAATGTGGGTAGTTATTAAAAGGGGAAGGGGCACTTCTTTCAAAGGAAAAGGGGGAACATTTCAAAAGTGAAAAGAGGGACTTCAAATACCTGAAAAGGGGCACTTATAAGAATGGATAATTGACACTTATTGCAAATGCAAATGGGAACTTGTCGAAGTAAAAGAGGCCCGTACCCAAATAAAGGGGGCACTTATCAGAGTTGAAAAGGGAAAAGGACACTTTTACAAATTAATAGGGGCACTTCTTACAAAGTTAAAGGGGCACTTTTCCTATGTAAAAAGGGGCACCTTTCGAGTGCTTGAAAAAGTCTGGGGTTACTGTGCCCCCCCCCCCCCTGGAGGGCCGCCTTTGAATTTATAGATTAGTGAAAGCTGAGAGTAGAATAGCATTTTAAGGGCCTATGTGCACACAAGATCCTCAGTCTGGAGCGTAAAGTAGGAAGCTCATTAGAATAGAATAGAATAGAATTTTATCGTCTTTTTTCTAAAAGAAGAAAATTTCCTTTTAGGTGATCATACAAAAAAAAAAAAAAATGCATAAAAAGTATGAATAAATGAATAATACAAACATATAATACAAATTACATAGAACATAAGGATAAAGGGAAGAAGACAAACAGAAAGAAATAGAGAAGAATATAGAATGAGGGGATTTATGGAGAATGTAGCCCCGGGGTAAGTAACTTAAAAATTGCCCCCCCCCCCTCCACCCCCACCACCACCACCACCACCACCACCTCCAGGGCCTCACTCTCCTCCAAACAAGTACGAAGAGACAGAGAGGCTAGGGAGAGAATGGACAAAAGGAAAGGAAAGTAACAGAAAGAAAAGGAGAGAGAGGGAGAGAAGGAGATGAATTGGAGGAAGATAAGAGAGAATTGGGAGAGAAAGGAAAGAGAATGAAAAATTAATCTGTCGCTTGTAAACAAAATAAGACGCCATATTCAGCTGCACACACCGCGGTATGTTCTGCGTTTCAAGAGGAAACAAATG